TCATCAATCCAGGCGATTGATTTGCATTGTTTCCACCTCCAACGCCTCACTGAAGACTCAAACAGCATCCCTCGGTCAAGTTCAGTCAATAAGCGATCGATCTGTATGTTTGTTGACTGGACGAGACACATCGCGAACGGAGGCTGCATTGAGCGATATGTGACTGATCTCAGCTGCTAAGCAGGATCGACTAGACTTGACAAGTAAGCATTCAAGAGCTCCAGCATCACCTTTGCGTGATGTTGTGGACCGACTGATCTATCTGTTCGCTCACTGTCTTGAAAGATCCAAAGACTTGGTAACCTTGTGGCTTAACTCCCCTGATTCCCATATTCCGATCGTACGCGAGCTAACCTTGACTTTTGTGTCCACCATGCGGAGTCATGAGGAGAGAAAAAACGTCAGGTCAAACAATGGAAGGTACACATTTGTTTGACCCTAGTAATAGGTATCATAATTCTATTTTATACAAAGTTAGATTGAATCACGTAAAAGTATATCTGAATTTGGCCAGATTGAAATATTCCACACTGATGTTGATGAATCTCATAAACACATTAAGGAACGAAGCACTATACACACTTACCATTTTTTCTCAATTAAGGAAATACGGAAAACAAAATGGTCTGTTCAGAACCAGCAATAATGTTCGTCATTGATGCACATTCGTTGTTTCTTTATAGTGCTGGAATAGCGACGGGGTCAATTCTGTCCTCTATTCGACTTAATATGTGCGTCGCATTTCCTGTGCAGTAACTGCATTGTTGATCCGTTGAGACATTTTTGTTTTGCTTTGATTCTGGATAGCGAGTGCGAATGATGACAATTGAGCCAGTGTTTTTGGTGCAGTAAATTATGTAGCGTTTTGACTGCTCGAACAGCGGACTCCATCCAATTCGTTCCGGGCTGAGCGCGCTGCATTGATCATCGAAGAACGAATGCACAGGAGTGACTGTGCGTCTCATTTGGGCAGCTACTACACAACCAATAAGTCACTTTGTACAACACACTGACTGCGCATAAATCTAGAAACAGAAATGGTGCTGTAAGCAGTTGTTTCTGTACCACTTGTTCAATGACAATCTCGAGTAAGGTAAGGAAGTTAAACGGGTCGACAAAATTGGTTTTACATGGCTTTTATTCAAGATGATTTGGTTTTACAAAAACGAACAATAGAGACTGCTGGATTTAAATGATCATAATGCGTGTTATGCCAGCATTCCCAGCGTCACTATGTTCATTGTATTACCAACACTGAATACACCTTACGTTGAGTAGATTAGGTGCAATTGATAAGTTTACGGTGGAAACCATTGAGTTCTATTCAAGACCCATAGAGCTACAGATATTGCCCGAAAAATTGAAGATTGTCGTAAGTTTGAAGCTTCCTCGAGCAAGTTACGGCAAAACTGATTCAACAAACTTCCTCTGGAATCGGTCTCCCGAACAGTTTGTTCGAACAAATAGATTTTACCGGTACAAAGGGACGGTAGACATTGAGATATTTGGATACAGACACATGAAAAGACTGATTACAGAAGTAGATGCATGACATGCTTCATAATCTACGACAGTTTTGGTGATAATGCCCTAATACATATAAGGGATCGCTGATAGTTCAGACTAGACCAGACAGATGTGGTCTTCATTATATTGAATTCATTCACAATCCGAGTCAGAGAAATCAAGTTATTGAAAACAAATGAAGCGTCTTTTGTAGTAGGTGTAACTGGTACACGGTTACCTTTTATCGATGATTCCAGATTTCCAGTTCACTTTGCGGTCTTTTCATGGTTTTCTGGTGAAGAAAATGTGTAACATGGTGATTGTTGATGCATACATCGTGGTGGTCTCCTCTTGACCGTAAGGGTGACCTAACCCAGCTGGATGTGCGTTGAAAGTTAGCCGATGATGACGAGTCTAGTTCGGTCAGATATTACTCGTCCGTTGGACCGTAAATTTTGCTGGTGTTCCACGTACTTAACAGTCGTCTGCCGAGCAGCGAGTGCCCTGTTCGTTTTTCACAGCCTGTCTGAGTTCAAGAGTGAACTAATGTTTTTACTGGCAATACGATGAAACTTGAGTTTTAAATCGAACAATCCGAATTTGCAATAGGAGACTGACACCAGTTTCATCATCTAGCATGCAAAATATATCTTCTTGGATCAAACTGTAAGTTGAAAATGTAAGTTGCTTCAACCGGGACACACAGGGATAAAGAGATTCATTCGGAAACGAAACGATTTCAGCATGTATCTGTAGTGTGCTTTGAATAATTCATTTCCAGTGAAATAACCGCGCGGATTCTAAGCCCAAACTTCTAACTGTGGTGATCAAACGTTGTTATCTTATCGTTTTAAATAACCCTATGATCATCTTTGATTTCAAAATAACAATTACAATTGAGGTACTATTTTTTTGTTTCTCGTTGCTGCAGTCACATTTGCAATGCAATTGTGATTTGCAGCACATCTTTTCATGTACGCGGAAATAGTAGTATTTTGTCCCAAAAGCTCTCATTTACTCCGAATTGCACGTCATTTTCGTTTTCTTCCGTTCCAGGATAGACCAGATGATAATATTCATCTTGTCGCACAGTTGCGAGAACAATTGAGTAATATGAAGACCGACTTGGTCAATCAGAAAGCGGAAACCGCAGCCATGCAAGCGCGTCAGCAACATTTGGAAAATTTGGTCCGCGATTTGCGTCGCGATAATGTCGATTTGCGGGATCAGTTGGCGAAGTTGGACGATGCGGAAAATTCGCTGGCAGAAAGTGACAAACCACTGGCAGCAGGCACTCGAATGCTCCAGGTCAGTTTACTCCTCCTACTCCCGTTTTCCAACAAATGTGTGTGTGTGTGAGAGAGAGAGTGCGTGAACGTATCACGTGTAGAGAGAGCAACGGATACGTATCATGCCGAACACGACCCAGATTAACCCGATTCTTCATGTTTCGTTCACGGTTCCTTTTGTGCATTCGTACTATTTGTAACAGTGATATCAAGGTATTATAGACCAATATACTACTAAACGTTTAATAAGTTTGCTTCACTGTAGTTGTCCTTTGGGAAATTTCAGTTGATTCTTATGCGCTACTTGCAATCAGCCAGTCTGCACTCTGGTATACGGTTCAGAAGACCTTTTCATTCAGTCATTGAAAAATATTAGCCCTGAGCATAATCCGCTTCGTTAGATCGAACTTCGCAACAGTAGATCAACACGCGCTATACACATGCCGTTTCAATGTAGGACGTGTGTTGTACCACCCCCAGATAGGTTACAGATTAGACGGAAAACAAGATAAAGTCACTAGGTGATTCGAAGAGTGTGTAAACTGAAGAGGATTTTTGTGACTAGGGCAATTGCATGATGCCTATCCAAGTTTCTGTTTGAAGTTGGTAATTCAGTTTACGTTCTCCATCTTCGAGGCTGCCTCGTGCTCATACCACGCAGGTGATTGATTTTGATAGCACAGTACTTCATACATACATACATACATACATACATACATACATACATACATACATACATACATACATACATACATACATGGACTTGATAGAGGCGGCCTGATGAAACAATTCCATTATCTACTGAAATATTGAGCGAATCAACATCTTCGATGAAATATTTGACAGCGTTTTTGGACATACTTAATTTTGGCTCGTTCCTCTTCTCGTGCACTGATATATCGGTCAACAGTGTCTTTTGTATTTCAAGCTATTTATCTATGAACCTTGTGTGCTATCCCTCTGGATGTTATGCTTCTAAAGTATGCATGGATTAATTAGGTTGAAAGTGCTGATCACCGAACAGTTCTCACTTGATGGAATGAAAAAACAAACGGCTTTTCTATGGTTCCATCCTCAACGTCTGACCAGTGCCATCCGGCACCATTGGTCAATTCACGATCGTCTACCGCTCTCAACTGTATGTATATGTTTGACAGTTCAACCCCACCATGATTTCAATTTTGTAAGTAGAGCTTTGGGACTAGTTGTGGACAAGCAATCCGATTTAATAGTTTACACATTCAGGAAGTGAAGAAGGGCTGAATAACGCTGCTCAAAATGTGTCTGTTTATTTGTGTGTGTGCACACACTGGGCAGACAGGTGAGCCTATACAGTCGGTCCTCTTTTGTCAACATCCGGTTCATGGGCTAATCAATACAATTTACCTCCCACTAGTACTAGTACTACCGCTACTACTCCTAAGTAACTCAGTTAGATGCGAATTACCCTCTAGCATCAAAATATATTGGATGTTAGATTGGAACTACCAATCAATAGTTTTGTTGAGAAGAGTGAAAACAAAAGTTTGCCCTCACCGGAAGTCCACGATGTAAGTAATGGTAGTTCGGTGAACTTCTTTCAGTATATCTTATTTGTTCAAAATGAGAACTATGGTTTTGACCATTTCACATATTCGCAATCTCACTGTCAAACTCAAAACCGTCGGAACGATTGAACATAAATGCCCCGTATGTAAGCACGCTGTAGACCGGTATTTGTTTAGTTTCAAGATTCAAATTTCCCTATTTTTTTGGGTCCATCGATAAATCAGCCTCGTCTCGGGTTGACATCGGGTTCGGCTTTTCAGCTGGACAGTTTGTTACATGGGGAATTGGTTTTAATTTTTCATCAAAGAGTCTGTTTTGACTATTATGGGGACACAGCGCGCAAATCCCTTAAACGCCAGCTCATCAAGAGTCTGAGGAATGACCGCGAGAAGTGGCGGGTAGAAAAGTGCAAAGAGATGGAGAAAGCCGCGGCTATTGGTGATAGTCGTAACCTTTTCCATCTA